GCCTCGGTGGTGATGCACCGTTGGAGAATACCAGACGGGCTACGCCTATACAACTCGCCGTTGTAGAGGACGTAAGTTTTGGCTCGTCGCGCAAGCCGTCGGGCCTTGGTCCTGTCCGTGGGAAGCTCTCCTCGCACGAGGCGATCAAGAAAAGGGACTCGCCAGTCCGTTCCTCGGTCGGCCTCGGGAGGCTCTGTGTCAATTGCCATGGCCTCGGGCTCGGGCGGCGGGGTCTCGGTGGCAAAGGGGGCCTCGGGCCCTATGGTGGGCTCGGCCGATGGGCCTCTACCGTCGCCGAGTCATAGTCGACGGATGGCTTGTGGAGGTCTCTGGCGAAGACGTTCGGGGGGACCGGGGTCCATGCCGACGCCATCTTTGCCAGTTCGTCCGCGGCCTCGTTGAACTTTCGTGCGATGTGATTGAGTTCGAGGCCATCGAACTTGTCCTCTAGGCGGCGTACCACCATGCAGTACGCCTCCATCTTGGGGTCATGGCAGTTTGATTCTTTCATCACTTGGTTGATGACAAGCTGTGAATCGCCTCAAACATCGAGACGCCGTACCCCAAGTTCAATGGCGATCTGCAGGCCATTGACGAGGGCCTCGTATTCGGCCACATTGTTGGAGGCGGCGAAGTGTAGTCGGATTACGTAGCGCATATGGACTCCGAGGGGTGAGATGAAGAGCAGACCCACGCCTGCCCCGGTCTTCATCAGAGACCCGTCGAAGTACATGGTCCAGTACTCCGCCTGGACATGAAAAGGTGGTAGTTGGGTATCGGTCCAGTCTGCCACAAAATCGGGGGCCCTGAGGCGGTCGTGCACCGAGGGCTGTCTCGAGAAGGCCCCGGAGTTCACCGTGGACTCGTCGCCCCTCTGTGGTAGAGGGCTCGGGCATCGCTCGGACCAGTATTGCCGCCGCAGCGATGTTCTGGCTAGCGCGATTGAAGACAGGGGGTTGCTCGCCCCCCTCATCATCGTTAATGCGGCGGTTGACGTCGCGAGCCCCCAGCCGGGCCGTTCCGCCATCGCCGCGCCCCCGCTGCTCTTGCTCGAGGGTGGCTCAGAGCTGCTGCAGGAGGAGTCGATCTTGCTCGACCTTGGCTTGAAGCTCACGGAGCTGCTCTAGGTCTATGCGTCGAAGTTGCTCGGGGGTGGGGACACCTGCCGCCGCTGGCGGGGACCCCATGCGTGGTGGTGTGGCATTGGCTGCCCTTCCTCCATCGTTGCCCGTGCTCGGCATTCTGAGTCCGATGTGGAAACACTCACGAGTCGGGTCGTAAGCGTCCTCGCCATCGGAATCGGAGTAGCCGAAGCAGTAGTCGCTCGCGATTATGAAGCGGCGCATCGCCTCAGGGTCGCGAAGCCCGGAGAAGTCTGCTCCAACCCACGCCTCGTCCTCCTCCGAGAAGTCAGAGTGGGGGTGGATTGGAGTTGTGACTATGGGGTTATGGGCATGATGTTGATGAATGGAGACGAGGGCGGTGGCGTAGGAGGCGGCGACATTGGTCAGCCCGAAAGGGTACGAGGATGGCGCCGTCGCCAGGCTCTGCTCCGCCGGAGCTGGCTCCTCGAGAGGAGGCGGGACAGAGCTTGATGATGGGGCGTCGCTATGCGCCATCGGCCCTTTTCCCCTGTCGAGGCTTAAGCCGGACAGGTCCCCGTGCAGGGACTCTATGCCGCCAGCGGGGTATGGGATTCGTGGAGCATGATCGGCGTTACGTACTTGCGTGGTGTTAGGTGGACTTCGCCGCGCGCGCTCTTGGCGAAGCTTGACGGGCGGCGGCGGCGCCGCGCCGCCGTGTCACGGCTGCCGTGCATGACGTCGTCGTCGGTTGATGGCGCTCTGGGTGAGAGGAGTACCATGTCATACTCGTGCCCTAGAGACATGAATTCTAGGCTCTGAACTGACGATCGTCCCGAGACGCAACGATCGCACGGGATCTCGCCATCCGGAATCGGTGGGATGACTAAGTCGACACGCAGAGGCCCCTACTGGCGCGCTTAACCGCCGGTGTTTGAACCGGGGTCCTTAACCGACTAGTGAATTTGTGCCGCGTGCTCCCAATTCCGGATGGTGATGCAAAGAGACACGAGGTTTATCTTGGTTCGGGCAATGGATGCCCTCGTCCGATCCGAGAAGACGTTCTTGTATTCCTTGCACCGGGTGCTCGTAGTAGGGGTTACAAGCTAGGCGAGAGAGGGAGTTCGTCCCAGGTCTCTGTGAGGGGAGGTGATATGAATTACAGAATGAGTCGTGTTGTTCGTGCGAGTGTTCGTGACTCTATCCGCCGTCCCTAGAAACGGTCCTGGCGCCTCCTTTTATAGCCGCAGGGAGGAAACCAGGAGTACATAAGAGAGCTACACGTGGAGCGGACTATTCGATGACGTATTTACTCCTGGAGCAGCATGGCGTTGTCGTGGGAGTTCCCGTAGATGTCTAATCGGTATGGTCTCCACTGCAAGTAACATGCTGCGCATTTGTTGGCTTGGTGGATTGCAGCGGCTTGGCGGCCATCGTAGCCGGTCGTGCCGAGGCCTATGGTGCCGAGGATCGTTGTGCGAGGCCCGAAAGTGTCCCAGTGCGGATCTGGTCTCGGCGACCCATCGGCGGAATAGTGCGAGACGTGCGCCTACGGATCGGTACTGTATTGTCGATGGGATGGTAGAAAAGGTGATCGACCGTTGTCCGTCGCTCTGTTGCGATGCTTGCACCGCCGATCGTGGCTTACGTGGCGGGTGCGGTGGCGCGCGTGTCGGATCGACGGCCTGCCAGAGAGACTTTTGAGGCGGAGGCGACGAGGTTGCGGGATTTGAGCCCGGCCTCGGGCGGGCGGAGCGTAGCGCCATTCGTCCGTGGCCCTACCGGGGTCTCGGGCGGCGACGGGCGAGGCGAAGTAAGAGATCGCGAATCCGAGGCCCTGTCGAGGGGCTCGGGCGAGACGGAGCGGTCGGTCCGCTGATTCCGAGGCTACTGAAACCGCTCGACTCCCCCCGCTTGCGATATCCTTGGTGCGAGTTAGCGGCGACGGTGGTGGTGGTAACCCCTGCTCTGTGCCGTCGCAGATGGCAGGAGGTTGACGCGACTGGCGTGTAGTCGGTCACTTCGCTGTACTGTGCCATCGTGCGTCTGTCGAAGTGGTTGGACGCTTGGATGCGACGTTCGGTCAGAGCGGTTTGGTCGAAGAGGCGGTCACGGGGCTGGTGCCGAGCCGGCCTCGCGCGAATCGGAGAATCGGCACTTCTTCCGAGGCCCCGGGCGAGGGGGCCTCGATGAGGGGGCCTCGGCGAGGCGGTCTCGGGCGAGTCGGAGAATCGTTCGCTTCCGCTGGGGCTCGGCGACGGGGTCTCGGGCGAATCGGAGATTTCGGCCGAGACCTCGTTTGTTTATCCCGTTGGTTCTGTTCTTAGGGTCTAAGCAGTTTTTCGATCTTTGCTTGGGGTACCCCATTTTCGGGTATCCGACACCAGGCTTATCAGTCAGCCAACAGTGTTTTCTTCTTACAACAAACCAGCACCAGCCGGACTTATCAGCCCAGAAACCAACCATCGAACAGGCCGGCTGGCTCTTATGACTTCAGTAACTCCGTCATACCGCTCGTGTTCATAGAGACTAGAGCCACGCATGTACGCCACTTGTGTTGAAACTTGATAGGTCAAAGAGAGGAGATGGAGACGATAGATGAGGAAGAGATAAGACAGAGAGAAAGAAGTGAGGCTGACATGTGTGCCTCAATGTCGTTTTTAATATCAATGTCCAATCATCATGCCACATATGGACAGTTTAATATAGGTTTATACCTCATGATGTAATTGGTAAATTTAATTAGGGACCCAATATACATTTCAGGAGTTTGGGTCTTAGGGACCGACAATACATCACTCTTTATTTCTTATATAAATAATTTTTTCTATGAAAATTAAAGATATATATTTCATCTGTCTATAAATGTTTAAAGTACTATAATTTCATGTGACTTCAAATCATTTCATAGTAATAAGAAATTGTACAAGTCATATGCCCTTGGAATGGGTCTTCTTAATTTCGTTGTATGGGAAAAATAACATTATTTTTCACGAATAAAAAATGACAATCGCGTAATGAAATTGTTCCATCGACGAGGGAAAACTCGAAGTCGTAGCGCCCTAGTATGACTTCCCAAAGTGGTATGACTGATAGATTATATGTAGAAATGTCGTTATTAGGAAAATGGACTTTAGTTGCATGGTTTAAAAAACAAAAAAAAGTTTATGTACACAGCTACACTACACATGAAACCTTATTTTAAATTAAAATTAAAAAATATCTGCCTGCAGAAAAAAAGGTAAATATATAAGTAAGATATAGAATCGCCTCGAGCCTGCGCTCGCTGCCTGATCCTTCAACGCCTTTTCTCGTACCTGCTGACCAGTGGCCATTTTGTATTGGAAACCAGTACAAAGGGCGCGCCCTCGTGCGCATGTGTAATTAGTTACTAAATGGTCCGATGTAATTGTATATTAAAAAACAATTAATAGTAGTATGTGAATATGGAGTCCATATAACGCAGGGTGTCAAAACAATAAGCAGTATTATATAATATTGGATAAACTCTGGTTAGAAAAGAAGTCTGTAGCCTAACAAAGCATCTGTGATTTCAGACTGCGTTGAAGCAGGACCTGTAGCAGTTCCGATCTATGGCAGATGTGCAAAAGGTAGGTATACATAGTTGAGTATAGGTGCTTCGCATAATATACACTGGGATAGTAGCATTTGAAATTTCATAAACGGCTTGCCACGTTTGGTTCAGAAGGCATGTTACATGATCCCATTCGGCTTATCTTATAATCTGGTTTGTTTGACTTCTTTTTTGGCGAAATAGTCATTTAGGCTCCTGAACTTTCGCGCAAGGCTCAAATTAGCCCCTGAACTATCAAAATGTCCACTTTAGTCCTTAATCTTCTGATTTATAACTCAATCTCGTCCATTCTAAATGATTGCTGGACACGTGGACAGCTGCACATGGAAAATGTACAACTCAATCACGGCGTTTTACTGTCTGTCTCTTTTCCTTCCTCACGGCGATATGGAGAAAAGAGAGACAGGGCGAGGATTGGCAGCTTCGACGGGCATGAGATCGTCGAGGTCGTCGGCGACGGCGAGCCTGGCACGCCGTCGGGGACAATGAGGCTGATCGACTTCATCCCCATCGACATCTACATCCCATCAGTGGAACAGGGTGCGCTCAGCAAGAGCCGGCGCAAGCGGTGGTTCCTGGACTTCCTTCGCGCCCACCCATCCAAGGACTGGTTCCTCCGCTCCACCTTCGTCGGCCGCCTCCGCCGGAGGAGTAGTCACAACCAGGAGTCGGCAGACTCAGACGACGACGGCGACAGCGGCGGGCGGCGCTACCCGCGGAGGCGGTTCCGCGTGTCGTTCGTGCGGAAGATCAAGTGGGGCAAGCTATGGACCTACGCGGTGAGCTGGTGCAGGAAGCCCGAGAACTTCGCGATGATCATCTGGCTGGCGTTCGTGGCCGCCGGGCTGCTGCTGCTCTTCATGCTCATGACGGGCATGCTCGACGACGCCATCCCCGACGACGAGCGACACAAGAAGTGGACGGAGGTGATCAACCAGATCCTCAACGCGTTCTTCACCATCATGTGCCTGTACCAGCACCCCAAGATCTTCCACCACCTGGTGCTGCTCCTCCGGTGGCTCCCCGACGGAGACCGCGAGGAGATCAGGAAGGTGTACTGCAAGGACGGCGCCTCGCGCCCGCACGACCGAGCGCACATGCTCGTCGTGGTGGTCTTGTTGCACGTCACCTACTTCGCCCAGTACTACTGCTGTGCCCTCTTCTGGAGCTACACGCGAAAGGACCGCCCGGACTGGGCGCTCAACATCGGCTACGGCCTCGGCACGGGGTGCCCCGTCGTCGCCGGCCTCTACACCGCATACAGCCCGCTTGGACGGAAGGAGCCCGACACGGAGGAGTCCGCGGCGGCGACGCCGGCCGAAGCTGCTGCTGCGGCGCAGGACCACAACAGCCGTACCGAGAACGACGACGTAGAGATCAAGATCTACAACCGTCGCGTGGTGGTGAGCAGCCCGGAGTGGAGCGGCGGGCTGTTCGACTGCTGCGACGACGGCACGGTGTGCGCGCTGTCGGCGACGTGCACCTTCTACGTGTTCGGCTGGAACATGGAGCGACTCGGGTTCGGCAACATGTACGTGCACGCCTTCACCTTCATCCTGCTGTGCGTGGCGCCGTTCCTCATCTTCAGCGTGACGGCGCTGAACATCCACGACGACGAGATCCGCGACACGGTGGTGGCCGTGGGCGTGCTCCTGGGCTTCTGCGGCTTCCTGTACGGCGGGTTCTGGTGGTCCCAGATGCGGAAGCGCTACAAGTTCCCGGGGGGGCGCTCCGCCTGGTGGTGGTGCGGCAGCGCGGCCGTGGGCGACTGCGCCAAGTGGCTCTTCTGCTGGACCTGCGCGCTGGCGCAGGAGGTGCGGACCGCCAACTTCTACGACGTGGAGGACGACCGATTCGTGGCTGTCCTGGGCGCGCGCAACGGGGAGGGGCGCCCCGTGCTTGTGCCGCTCCCGCGCGAGGCGTCCACCACGACGTACACACGGAGCATGTCGTGCCCGCCCATGCTTGACGACGCGGCGCGCGGCGGCGGCGGGGTGACGAGCCCGCTGGGACCGGGGATGGTCGAAGCCGCTGCCATGGAGAGGTCGGCCACGTACCACCCCATGAGGCCACCGTTGCCTCCACTGATGCAAACGGAGCGAGAAGACTAGGACCGACTGTAGGCATACACTCCACCTTTGTACTCCAACGATATACCTATGTTGCAGCTGTGTACTGAAAAGAGAGACAGGGCGAGGACGAGAGGAAGGAAAAGAGACGGACAGGAAAACGCCGTGATTGAGTTGTACATTTTTCCATGTGCAGCTGTCCACGTATCCAGCAATCATGCAGAATGGACGAGATTGAGTTGTAAATCAGAAGATTAAAGACTAGAGTGGACGTTTTGATAGTTCAGGGGCCAATTTGAGCCTTGCGCGAAAGTTCAGGGGCCCAAATGGCTATTTTGCCTTCTTTTTTCATCCGAAACAGTGTTTTTCTCTCACAACAATTCAGCCAGAACAGTGTTTTCAGCTAATTTCAGCCAAGTCTATGCCCTCGCACTGAACAAAGTCTCGGGCGACGAGGCATGCCTTGTGCTTGACAATGGTGCTGAGCTCGTCCCGCTTGACCTTGTACACCCACTTCAGGCTGATCGGATGGCATCCTGGAGGTGGATCGACGAGCTGCCATGTCTCGTTTTTCTCGATCGCCTTCATCTTCTCCAGCATCGTTCGTCGCCAGTTTTCATCCCGCTCGGCTAGCACGAACATGGGTGGTTCCTCTGCACTGACGAGCAGCAGCTCTGCGTCATTGAGCAGCCGACCAGCCAGTCCTGAGGGTCCTGTGCCGCCGACGATGTCGTCCAGCCTGTAGAACCGCACCTCCTCACCTTCATGGTAGACGTCCACAAACTCAGTGATGTCACTTGGAGGTGAGGCGAACTCGATCGGTATCGATGGAGTTCCCTGTTCCAACGGAGTACTCGGCATAGCACCTTGAGTGATCGGCACCCTAGTTGCAGTGCACGGCACTACTTCTGGACAGCTCATCATTACTCCTGCAGTGTTCGACCACACTGTAGGAGTGCCTAGCCTCAGTCTTGGAGTGATCCGCACCACCGCAAGACGTCTTGGCTCCGCTACGGGAGTGCTCAGCACCCGTCCTAGAGTGGTCACCACCACTGCAGAAACCTCCTGGCGCCACTCCTGGCGTGCTCGGTATCCCTCTAGGAGTGCTCGACACTCCTCCCTGAGTGCTCGGTATCCCTCCCGAAGTGCTCGGCACTGCCCTAGGAGTGCTTGGTCCTACTGCTGGACTGCTTGGCACTCCTCCCGGAGTGCTTGACACCTCTTCCCCAGCGTCTCCACCGCCGTGGATGACCAGGTGCTCGACGATGAAGATGTTGGTGAAGCTGCCAGCTTCCCCTGTGCTCGGACTGCTCTAGTCCCAAGCCGCCTCCTCGTCGAACACGACGTCGCACGAGACAAGCACCTTGTCTCCGCGTGGGTCGTAGAGCTGGTACGCCTTGGTACCCTCTGCGTAGCCCAGGAACACCATCGATGTGCTCCTGTCCTCTAGCTTGGTGAGGTTCGGCTTCGTCTTCCTGACGTGACCGATGCAGTCGAATGTCCGGAGGAAGGACACGCTCGGCTTGCGCCCATACCAAGCTTCGAACGGTGTCTTCCCCGTCAGGGCCTTGGTCGGAGTGCGGTTGAGGATGAACACTGCTGTGGTCACCGCCTCCCCCCCAGAACCTTGTCGGCATGCCTTTGGCCTTCATCATGGATCGGGCCATGCCGACCACCGACTGGTTCCATCGCTCCACCACGCCATTCTGTTGTGGCGAGTACGTCACCGTGTGATGTCGCTCCACACCCTAATCTACGCAGTACACAGCGAACTCCATTGAAGTGAATTTGCCGCCGCGATCAGTCCTTAGCATGCTGAGCTTCTTGTCGTTCTTGGCCTCCGCGCGCATCTTGAACTTCTTGATCACCACCGCTGCTTTGTCCTTGCTCGTCAGGAGTTGCAGCCACATGTAGCGACTACAATCATCCACGAGCAGGAGGAAGTACCGTCGACCACCATTTGTAGCTAGTGTGATCGGCCCACAGAGGTCGCCGTGGACGAGCTTGAGAGCGTCCTTCGCGCAATACTTGGTCGCCTTTGGGAATGGTAGCCTCCTCTGTTTCCCGGCCAGGTAGCTGTCACACAGCTCGCCTCCATGCTTGATGTGGGGTAGCCCTCGGACCATCTTCTCTAGCCAACCAAGCGTGTCGAAGTTGAGATATCTGAACCGGGCATGCCACATCCACGGTTCCTTGGAGTGCCTTGCCGCCAGGCACACCAGCTGCTCTACCTTCAGGTCGAGCAGGTACAACCGGTTCAGGTCGAGCAGGTACAACCAGTTTAGTCGCTGCTCCCGGTCCCTGATCCTAAGGACTCCATCCTTGATCAGTACCTTGCTACCGCGCTCATCCAGCTAACCAATGCTGATGATACTAGAAAGCAGCTACGGGATGTAATATACATCCGTTAGCGCGCGGTGCTCCCCGTTCTGGCACCTAAAGATGATGGTGCCACGCCCTTGTATAGCCACCCTTGAGCCATCACCAAACTTCACCGTACCGGTAACATCGTCGTCGAGCTCGGAGAAAGATGCCTTGGAGCCTGTTATGTGGTTGCTGACACCAGAGTCCAGATACCACCGTTGCTCCTGGTCGGTGTCCACACATCTGAGGTGGACTTGGGCGCGTGGTTCATCGAGGTTGATAGTCTTTAGGGCCTTCCTAGGTCCTTACACCGTCGTCGCCTATTCCTTCTCCTTGGCCTCGACGTCGTGCAGTGCACAAAACATCGCCATCAGGATAGTGGCCTCATCCTCATCATCAGCTTACACCAGATGAGCCTGAGCCTTCTTCTCCTGCTTGCGATTTGGGCACTCCCGTGCCCAATGGCCCATCTTCCCACAGCGTCGACAGGCGTTGGGGTCGACCTGCTTCTTCATCTCTGAAGAAGCCTTGCCGCGGTGCTTGCCATCGCCACCGCGGCTGGAGGAGGCTGCCTTCCCGGAGTTCCTCCGAGCAGCTCACTCCTCTTCCGTCAGCAGGAGTTTCCCGCTGTCCTTTGTTGTTGTCGCCTGCTCTAGGCACTCGTCCACTGCCCACAGATGGCCTGTCACATCCTCAATGGTGAGGGTGGACAAGTCCAGCATTGTCTCTATGGAAAGAGCGATCTGGATGTACTTTGCTGGCACGGAGTGGAGGTACTTGGAGACCGCCTCTTCTTCGTCGATGGTGATGCCGGTAGATGGAGAAGTCCTCCACCATTTCACCATCCTTGAACTTGAGGTTGGTGTACTCCTGCTTCAGAAGCTGGGCCATCACCTTCTTTGCGTGGTCGGAACCGACGTGCATCGCCGCAATAGCCTCCTATGCCTCCTTAGCAGAGCTCTTTGCCCCCAACGGCTCCCTGTACTCTGTCGGTACAGCAGCGAGGATAGCCTCCAACGCTGACATGTTATCTTCTTCATTGTCGGTGCCCTTGTCAACAGCATTCCAGAGCCGTAGGGCTCTGAGATTGACCTTCATGGTCACCGACCACTCTCCATAGTTGGTGTGAGTCAGCGTCAGCCAACTAGTGCTGCTGACCTCCCACACCGTGCGAACAACGACCTTCGATCGTGGCTGGGCAGCCACAGCAGTGCCACTGCTATCGCCCATCTTCGAACCGCCCATCATCGCCAGCGGTTAGTCTGGTGACGACGCTTGTATGGTTTCGATACCACTTGTTAGCCGACAGGATCATCGGCTCAGGTGAGTGAACCACTCACCAGTCTTACCGAGCACCCGCTAGTGTTGCCGAGCACCCACTAGCTGTGCCGACCACGAACAAGCGTTGTCCGTCCCCACGCACTATGGCTAGAGCTTGAAGAAGAAGGGAGAACAGAGCATGCACACACAATACAAGACACCAGCGTTGGCCGAAGCCCTGTCTGGGAGATGGCAAATCTGAACTCTCTTTACTGAGTTGCCGTGGTAGTCTATTTATACAACTCTATCCATCTAATCCTAGAACAGCGCACATGCTACAACAGTAACTAGATAACACAATAGGCTGACTCTGCGCCAGCCTCTGCATGTGGCTATAGTGCTGCATGTGAGCCGTGCGGCGCCTGCATCTGCAGTGCTACAGTATCACAGCAAGGGCCTTTTCGGTGCCGCCTTCCCTTGCTGTGTTCACACAAGGTAGCAGTAGATTATCTAACATTCTTGTTGGCCCACAGGATCACCGACTCAGGTGTGCTCTGGGCCAACTGGACGCAGGAAACTTAACATCCGATCGAGTACAGAGAGCTCCCAGAGCCGCTCTGGGCCGACTGGACGTGTCCAGTCACTCCCAGAGTCCGATCAATTATAGCGCTGAAACCCGAGAGTTGCTGGTTCACACCGGACACGTCCGGTAGCTTCTCTGCAAACCTAAACCGAGCTAACTCACATTGATCATAAGCTGAACAGTAACTCCTCAGCATCCGGTTACTCCACTGAGCCAGAGTCTGGTCATTAATACCGGACGCGTCCGGTCGCCATACCGGACGCGTCCGGTCACTGTGTGACCAGCACGGCTAACTCCTTTTCAACTCTATCTTCTTCACCCTTGCTCAAATGTGCCAACCACCAAGTGTGTCACCTTGTGCACATGTGTTAGCATATTTTCACAATCATTTTCAATGGTGTTAGCGCTCCACTAGATTCTAAATGCATATGCAATGAGTTAGAGCATCTAGTGACACTTTGATAACCGCATTTTGATACAAGTTTCACTCCTCTTAATAGTATGACTATCGAACCTAAATGTGATCACACTCGCTATGTGTCTTGATCACTGAAACAAAATGGCTCTTACTACTTATATCTTTGCCTTGAGCCTTTTGTTTTTCTCTTTCTTCTTTTCAAGTCCAAGCACTTGATCATCACCATGGCATCACCATCATCATGTCATGATCTTCACTTGCTTCACCACTTGAAATGTGCTACCTATCTCATGATCACTTTGATAAACTAGGTTAGCACTTAGTTAAATTGAATTCATGTTGCTTGCCCAAGCATATTTACCATGTGTAAAAGGATATGGACAAGTTTCATGAACTCCATATGGTAGCAATTGCTCC